GTACATCATTCCAATCTACATTCACATCAGTCCATGATTCCATTGTTGATTCCTCAAAAACAGAGAGACACAGAGTCAAAACAGAGAGACACTGAGAGACAAAAAGACAGTCCAATAACTAGAGAAAAATGGAGAGAGAGAGAGAGAGAGAGAGGGAGAGAGAGATGTCGATATTACCTGTCTGGAAACAATCGGAGGAGCAACGATGTAGAGGAGAAACAACGTTCTTTTCAAGCGTAAGAGACTGATGTTTTAGGGTTTCTTTTAATTTGGTTTAGGTTGATTTAATCAGGTTTTTAATCTGTAAATGGGTCATAATCGGGTATTTTTTGGTTTAGGTGAGTTAGTTATTAGTTAATTTTAGGTTTAGGGAACGCTAACCAATTTTAAATCGTAATTTGTTGATATTAGTTCGATTTTCAAAGTTTAGGGGAAACGGGTTTCGAACTTTCATCGTATGTGGAAGAGCGTTGTTATACTTATGTGGTGTGCAATTACGTCGAGGTCGAAACTTTGTATATATTTATTACTCCCTCCGTTTCAAAATATAAGTCATTCTAGCAAATTGCACACATATTAAGAAAGGTAAGAATTTATCTATTATACCCTTGTCAATCAAAGTTATTTACAAGATTAATTATATATGTATTTAATATTTTAAATTAGAAAGAAATTATTTCTGTGTATAATCGTATTAGTCTCTTAGCATTCTCCACCAAGTTATCTTTAACTATCGTTGAATGAGTTAATTATAATGATTACTAGAATTTGTAAACTTCATCATCTCCAGTTTCTTTGTTAAGTTCGCCTTTCCCTGCTTCGTAGCATACTTTGTTGAGATCAAAAGTATGTATATTGCTGACACTGAAATCATGAATCTCTTTACATGAATGGTGTTCTTCTTTGACGCATGCTTTGTTAAGATCAAAAGAATGCAAAACTTTCACATTAGGATCATGAATTTCTTTTCCATTCTTTGAACTTTGACTTTCTTCCTCGACAGTAGGTGTGTTTCCAAATAGATTTGCCATTTTTCTGTGAAAAGTAACACGAGAAAGAATCTAAATAGTCTTGTTTCCTTAAGAATATAAATGGTTTACGTAAATTTACATGTATGTTGACCACATTGGAAAAGATAAAAAGAAAACTAATTTGTTTAAGTGGCTGTTGGGATGATTGATAAACGAGAATGTGTTGAATATAATTAGTTTAATTTGAAATATTTTGTTATTTTTATTGAGGTTAAAATAGGTAGTATGTTGTACAAATTGTATTGAAAAGTGAGAATGACACTTAATTTGTGACAAAAAAATAAGGCTAGAATGACTTATATTTTGAAACGGAGGGAGTACTATGTCATAGTTCCTGTGGGGAAATATCTCATCTTCCCCCTATATATTAACCTAAAACTTATGGGGCCTAAGGCTATTGTCTTTTTCAACAAGAGGTGAGCACGCCTCTGGATCTCCAGCATATGGATGTGATTCAATGTTATTTATTTGTATGTCATAAGAGTCTGGATTAGGTTCAGCGGCCATTTGCAGATCGTAAAAAATATTTATTTTTGAATCGTTACAATCTTTAACGGTTGAAAATTACGATTTGCGACTGTAAAACGAATAGAAATTTACAACCAGTCTGATCAGCCGCTTGTAAAACAAACAATAACCAACATGCGATCTAAAACTGGTCAATATGCAAACAAACAAACCCCATGTTAATTCTATATAATTAGTAGTGTATCCTTCCTTGATGAATGATTCAGAAAAAAATTATAAATAGTCACTGAACATTAGTGTTAGAATACCTCCAATAGAGTTCTACCCTTGGAATGTTTTAGCTAGATCAGGTTTTCATAAAATTGAGATACTCATAATTAAATACTAATCTATATTATATTTATATATATACATATATTCTCAAAGCTAGAACTTCCATTGGGTTGCTTTTACAAAAAAAAAAAGAATCCCTAATCATTAAACTAGTATAGTATTATATTACTACATTTGTAACATGTGTGCTCAACTTGGAAACTACATTTACACATGTTATTCTGACTGGCTAACTCTAAACTTCTGTTTTTACACATACATAAAAAATCTATAAACTAATAATCTCAGAACTATAATGATTTATTAATTTAGAAAGTATAAATTTTTGAAAAAAACTTAGATTTATGTATTTAAATATTTTATTTAAAAATGTAAAACTATTTTTCTGGAATTATATACTATTTAAAGCTTATAGATTTGAATTTTATCTATTTACGTTAGATTATTTGATGTATGTTGAATATGCATTGTATAATAATTGTATTTTTATATGTAATCTGATAAAATAGCAAAAAAATTAGAAAGATAAAAAAATTCAGAGACGAAATTCAGTTAAAGAAAAAAAACAATAATATGTTTTGTCTTTTTGTCTGGAATTTTATTAAAAAAAACAAATCCCATTGGAGATGAAGTCCAACAAAATACAAAGATAATTAAACAGAGATCAAAACAGAAAGAATAGACATAAACAAAACTTGGCACCCAACAAGCGTAAACTGTTGGAAAGGAGACAAACATGTCACTCACCACGTGTAAGATCGCCCTGCTATCTCAGAAGCACGTCAAGGTGAGTGATCACTTTTTCCACTAGGGCCAGAGAAGATGCGCGTCAGAACTCCAACCTGTGAAGAGGCCACTCAAACCGAGCAGCCTTTTCAGGAAAGTTCAACCCGAAGAATCTAGTTTGACGAATCACCGCTTTGAGAAGGATATGCACCCTTTTCAATTGATCTAACAACTCCGATCTTCCTTTGAAGATAATGATTAGCTTGAAAATGAAGTGGCCCTAAACAAAAGGGAGGAATACAAAGCGGATTGGATTGAGAGTTGGTGAAACAGGTTAAACGAGAAGCAGCGATCGAACGGGATCCCTTTTTTTATGAGAGTTAAAGCCGGCGATGAGGTACTATGAAAGCCACCGCAACCCAAATTAATAGTTATATATAGTAACTATTAATTTATAATTTAAAGGGGGCATATATTAATTAAATTATCTAAATATTTTTATTTTATTAATTTATAGGAGGATGTCATATTTACATTGATCTAATTTTTAAAAAATATCAATCTATTGATTATTAATTTATAGATTTTTTTACTATTTTTGAAGATAAGTTTTTTTTTGTTCACGTGACAGATCATGTTCAGATGTCACCATTTAAGGACTGTTATTGGTTTGTGATTTAAAAAGAATTTTGCTGATTTTTTAAATATAAAAATTTAATAAACTTGAAAAGAGTTTTGATGACATTTTATATTTTAATTTTTTCTGAAGAGTTTTGTTGATTATTAAGTTAGAGTCCGGTATTTTCTTACTATAATGGTTTTATCTGTATAAGTAAAAAGACACCAATTACAAAAAGAAAAAGACAATTTTATTGCAACAGTTATCACTTTGTAAAATCTACTGACTGTAAATGTATAAATATATGTTCAATTTAGACAATACTTTTTGTCTTCATTCAGACAAGTGTTTAAACAAAACAAACAAAACACAAATTAGACAATAAAATACTCTGTCGGAATCCGTTAATTATTTTCTCTAAAAAGTCTACAGCTAATAAAACTAAAAATAATTATGTTCTTAAATATTTTTTCCTAAAACGGAACATGAAATGAGTATTTCAGTTTTAAATCGAAGACTGCAAACATTACAATTCAAAAAAATATTTGTTTAACAAATATTTACCGAACGTTAGTTGATTAATATAGGATTCTTATACCTCATATTATGTCTCTTACAAATAATTAAAAGAAGCACAAATCTGACCATTCATTGTTTGAAAATATATTACCTTCCACTACCTGGCTTATTTGGACTAAATTTTTAATTTTTGGTTAAGATAATTTATCATTTATAAAAGAATAAATATATTTCCATTAAGATTTATTCTTTTTGGAAATATAAAGAACAAAAAGAGTAAATCTATTTCCATTAAGATTTAATTGTCTTTTAAATATATTTGCCTTATGGTGCAAAGAGTTTCTGTGACAAATAGCAAGTACGTCTCCTTAAAACAAACAAGCCATTCTTTTCTTCCGTCTTTCATTCTCCGCCTCTCCTTCATCGTTTCCTAAACCCATTTTCTTCGCTTTCTTAGATTCTTTTTCCTTTTTCTCAGATCTCTTCTCTCTTCCGAACGATCCTCTATTTCTTTTCTCTGGAGGTGTTTCTCTGGAGGAAGAAATATTATCTTCTCCTGTCGATCTTTTCTTCTGGGTATTTTTTTTTGTCTTTGCATGGCCTAGTGGATGATTGGTAACGTCTGATTTCTCAAAATTATTGACTTTTCTGGGTTTTATGGATATTCTAGAAAATGTTGGGTCATTTATCAAGATATTCTCAAGTTTTGGTTTGGTAGCAGAGTTTAACTGTTGAGGCAAACATTTGAGATCATTTATTCCTGTTGCACCTGATGTATCAACTGAATATATTTTCATTAAGAAATTGTTGTGTCAATGATAATAGTGGTGGACGAGTCGGTTTCTTATGGTGTACTTTTCTAATTGTCTTTGTTGAATTATTAGTTTTTTTTTCATTTTAAATTCAATTTCCTTGTCTTTTTTATCTTAATTGAATTTCAACGCTATTATTGCAGAGGATTTTAGCTTGTGGAATTTGTTATTTGTGAGAAAACAAAAGACAATGTTATATAAAAATATATGATTAGAATTTGACTTGTATGTCAGAATACTGTGCAGAAAGGTTGGTGTAATAGTTTTTCTTACAAAATTAAATTCAGCTTCTCTGCACAATAATACTACTGTTTTACCTCCTTTTTTAACCGTAGTATTGCTAACTTTCATGCATCCTTTGTTAAACATAAATTAAATGATTTGATGATGATGAAAACTTTGTTTAATTTTGAAAATTCTGTGTCAGAACCTAACTGAACTTAGGTTTTACTTTCAGTTGTTTGGGTCTGAGATTGTTATAGAAGAAGGAAAATGGAAACACCGAATGAAATAAAAGCTTCACCGGGAAAAAACCTCAGAATTGGAGGAGCTGTTGGGAACAACAGCAAGAAAGACATGATTTTTCGAGCTGACAGGATCGATCTGAAGAATTTGGACATTCAGCTGGAGAAACATCTGAGTAGGGTTTGGTCAAGAAACATCGAGAAGAATCCAAAGCCTAAGGAAGAGTGGGAAATCGAGTTGGCTAAATTGGAGATGAGTAATGTCATTGCTCGTGGTGCTTATGGTATTGTCTACAAAGGCATCTATGATGGTCAAGACGTTGCAGGTCCAACAAATGTGACCAAAATATATGTTCTATTATGAATAAATATATAGTCTATATGCTTCTGTGTAACTGTTTAGTGTTTTTGGTTTAGTGAAAGTGCTTGATTGGGGAGAAGATGGTTACGCGACAACTGCTGAAACTTCAGCTCTTCGTGCTTCATTCCGACAAGAAGTTGCGGTTTGGCACAAACTAAACCATCCCAATGTCACCAAGGTAATGTATAAACTCTTCACAATTTTTTTAAAAACAAATGGAATTTATGGGCCTTGGTCCCTAATCTCTCTTCTAGTCTCTCCTCTAGGTCCGAACCCAGCCGTTAGATATTTGGATTTAAAAAATAACCCCTGTATCAAGGGTGATTTGAACCAGAGGCACAAGAGAACCAACGCCTTTTCATGCTTTATTGATCTCTCTTTTGTGTGTATGTATGAATGTTTGGATTTAAAAAAAATATAACAGTTTGTTGGAGCGTCAATGGGAACAACGAATCTGAAGATACCTTCATCAGCTGAGGTGGAGAGCTCGTTGCCTCAGCGAGCTTGTTGCGTTGTTGTGGAGTATCTACCCGGAGGAACTCTTAAGCAGTATTTGTTCCGTAACAGGCGAAGGAAACTCGCTATTAGAATTGTTGTTCAACTCGCTCTCGATCTCTCCCGAGGGTAAGCTACCAGTCTTTACGAATCTCCAAGAAAAAAAAAGAAAAAAAATCTTTGGTGAGATACAATGATGATTGATGACTTGCAGGCTAAGTTATTTGCATTCAGAGAGAATCGTTCATCGCGATGTGAAAACAGAGAATATGCTTTTGGATTATCAGAGGAATCTAAAGATTGCTGATTTTGGAGTGGCTAGAGTTGAGGCTCAGAATCCAAAGGACATGACTGGTGAAACTGGTACTCTCGGATACATGGCTCCGGAGGTAACTAATTAAAACGAACATTATATTTTACATTAAAGATTGCTTCTTATTATGGTTTCACATTCTTACATGAAACTTGTGTGGTTAGGTTCTTGATGGTAAGCCATACAACAGAAGATGCGATGTTTACAGCTTTGGGATATGCTTGTGGGAGATTTATTGTTGTGCTATGCCTTATCCTGATCTCAGCTTTGCTGATGTTTCTTCTGCTGTTGTTCGCCAGGTTAGTGAAACTTACTATAATTTCATTTGTAATGCTGGTTTGTGTTCGGTTTGGTATCAGAGTCGGATTTAAGTCGGTTTAGTTAAGAAAAAAAGCGTTAAAATCACAATGAATACACAATAGTTTTAGTTAACATGATATTTATTATGTAATATGATTAAGAGATTCAGTTTAGGTGTTTTAGATTTTTAAAATGAGAAATCCAGTTGGTTGAAAAACAAATACCGGTTTGTTTTTCTTTTTTCCTAGCTTTGTTTATGCCAATTCGTCAATGGGAACTGAGACTATTTGTTTTGTTTTTTATGAACGGTTTAATACAGAATCTTAGACCAGACATACCCAGATGTTGTCCGACATCATTATCCAACATAATGAAGAGATGTTGGGATGCGAATCCGGTGAAACGGCCAGAGATGGAGGAAGTCGTGAAGATGCTTGAAGGAGTCGACACCTCCAAAGGTGGTGGAATGATTCCGGACGATCAGAGACCTGGCTGTTTCTGCTTTGTCTCCGGTCGGGGTCCTTGAATTTACATTTTTACCCCTTCTACCCATCTTATTATTTATTATTCTTACCTCTCTACATTACATTTTGGAGCATTATATTGCTCTGTTTTATTTTCTCTCTCTGTCCAGATAAAAAAAAAGTTTTCGTTATAAGAGAAGAATATATATTATATAAAAAATTATGTTATATAATTTCTGTGCGTAGAGTGAATAGGAATATTGACGTTTGGATATTAAAAGAAAAAGAAAGAATATCGATTTGTCAAAACAAAAAATAATATCGACGTTGCTTCCAGTATACAGCTGAAAATTCAGATACTAACATTTTTTTTTGATAAAAAAGACGGCTGATACTAACATTTTTATAAAATGGATGATAACCTTTCTTTGCTCTAATATAAGATTGCTTTGTAGGGTAATCCCCTATATATTAATTGAGAAACATTTGAAAAAATGTAACCTCAAGTTTGTATTAATTAAAAAGTAATCTTGCTTAGTTGTCAATCAATTACATATCAATTAAACTGACGTGGCGGCTTTAGGTTCAATTGAAATTTGCTAGGGAAAAATAATTAAAGACGCATATAACACATGTAACATAGTTTATATATTTATATATATCGCACACATGTAATGGAAGAAAAGGAAAATATACGATTTGATAACGATTTGCATATATTAACTATAATAACTTCATTCCTTTTAATTTATGGAAATGTATATGTAAAATGGAAAATAATTCAAATAATCATAGCGTAATTTATAAATCATTGGTGTAAAGTTTTGTTACACAAATATGCAAATAATCATAAAATCATATGAGTAGAAACCTCATTTAATAAATATTCATATTAAAAGTGTGCTATATTACTATGTTTATATCATTTAAATTTAATTATATAGATATACAATATATAAGATTGATTATTTTGATTTATTTACCCTAATTGTGAATAAACAAGAGTAATAGTTAAATTTATATGCATACGCCAATTTGTTACATAATAGTAATTGATTTCTTAGTTATTTAATATATATATATTTATTATTTTATTATTTATAATATGCAGAAAAATATAAAAGAAATAATAAATATAAAATA